GGCTCCAGCGACCCTGAAAAGGATAAGCGGTAGTGAATGGATGGATGGATGTTAGTTTTAATTGCAGGTGTTCAGTAATCATCATTACCCTATAAATGAATGCACAACATGTTAAATCTCGCAGTGGTTGCCCTGAAAGTGTAGTTGTAGTTGACTTTAGAAGGACTTCTTTGCACGTTAGCTTAAAGCGAGTTCTAACGCTTCTCTCAGCTCTGAAAATATTTAGATTTAATTTGTTGTTATTTGTTTCTATTTGTCATTATTATCTGGTCCTTTTATCAGTGTGGTCCCATTTTCAATCAACAGCTAAGTCCACATTAAATTTTCCATGTACTGACTTGAGAAAAAATGTCCCTGTTTCCACATTCAGTGGTGTTAGAGGTAGATCATATGCCTAGTCAAATAGGAAGCAAATATATCCTTATCAGTTTTGATGTTACAAACAAATGTATCACATAACCAGGGTACATTGGAAAAAAGCCTCTTTCATGTTATGAATGACCAGTTCATCCACCACTACATGATTTCTGTTGCTGAACTGACTTAATACAATATGTTTAAATAAATGATGCTGACTTTTGACCTTTAGGGATCTGATAGTTTACTATACTTTACAGAGATATGAAAAGATCTATAAAACAAACTATGTTTAAAATATTCTATTTTTCCACTCTTGCAAAATTTAAGATCTGTGTCTAAGCTGTTCCATGCACAGTAACATATAACCACTTCATGTTCTAAATCTACTAATAAAATGTACACTCCTTGCAACAATCTCAATGGTAACAATGATAATAAAAACAGAACTGCACTTATCACCTTTATTTCTTCTTTAATAGTGGCCAATATATTCATTTATATTTATTGGAAGCATTTAAAGTATCTGTACTCTGAGTTGGCGGATGGGATTAATATTTTTTCACTTTGTCTGATTCATCCCAAACATGTTCTATCAGGTTGAGGCCAGCATTAAGAGATCCTTTCACTGGAACAAAGGGGCTGAGCCCAACCCCTAAAAAACAACCCTACACTATGATCCACCAAACATTATACTTTGTACAATGCAGTAAGACTAGTACCATTCTCTTTGCAACTGCAAATGGTTGCCTCAGGAAAGGCATCTGATTAAAAGCTCATCGTCAAGAATGAGCCTGCCATAATAGATTGGTGGAGGCACGTCCACCACCAGTGCTGTTGGCCAGCAGGGTGTTGGTGGACACTATGACACGGTTAGCTAAAGACAAATGCAAGGAATAGGGTGAGATGGAGACAGATGATCCACTGTGGTAACCCTTAAAGGGAGCATCCCAAGAGACATATTTATATCTTTGTATGTCACAGAAATCTTATATACAGTCTGGTGCAACTAAACATGACACAAACAACTAGAGCCTGAACTGGATCAATATCACTTGAAGTATGAGTATTTATTTTGTTGAGCTATTTTAATAAAATTCAGAAAAACAGACTTACAAGTGTACCTATAACTAATAAGTTTCCTTGGTAACTTTGGATAATGGTCTAATCCGATAGAGATGGATTATTTTTTAGTAATTACTGAATTTGAAACTGTTTTCAGAAGCACGTGTCCATAAAAGAAGAAAACTTCACTTGCAGTGTGAGAAGGTTGATTTACAGTAACTTTAACTCATTTTGTGGTGGTTTGTTTCTCTACTAGCTTGTTGGTGGATCTCACACAACACTGTCTCACATTGTGACAGAACAACATGGTGTGTTTCTTACATAAACACACAAATAGGTGTCCACTCTTCTTTTAAACAGTACGAACAGTTTAATAATTATACATTTTAATAAACGTTCTCTTATGGAAATGCATTTTTCTTTAAGTTTTGATTTAACTTCTTTTTTGGTTCTTCTAATTTAACAGATGGTGCAAAGGATGAAAATCTGAAGACTGGTTCATTCACAACAACACAGACGAAACACAATTTATTTTAAAAATCATCGTCCGTTAGGACTTCTTTTTACAGGCATCTTTAATTATTTTTTATTGTATAAATGTTGTTAATAAAATAATTTAAATGATCTGGTTTTTGCTATCAGATTGATCTACATGAGAATTTGTTTATCACACAACAACTTCATTTTGATGGTTAATATATTTGTGATTAATGAAAGTTTAACCACGTAATTTCACTGCTAACCTATAAAACCAAGAGTGCCCAACTGCGGCTCTCGTGCTGTTTGTGGTTGTCTTTTTTTAAATGTGCGTGTTTGCTTTGTTTGTGTTTAATCCGGTATTTTCATCAAATACACTTGTGCGTGTGAAAAAATACCGCAAAGTTTTCCAGTAGGGGCAACATCATTTGAGTATTCAAATTATGTCATGCTCGCTCTCAAAACAGCAGGGAAAAAATGCACAGCAAAACAAAAATATGAAGAAGAACACAGAATGTTTTTAACAGAGTGGGAGAGTTTTTGTTGTTGTTGTTGAATGTAATGGCAAGTCATCCTGCCTCATATGCCAGGTGTCATTAGCGCATTCCAAAGCTTCAGATCTTCATTCAGCATCACTTCAGCTCACTCCAT